TTTTCTCGAAACATTTCCCTTTCAGGCGTAAACTCGAACGAGGAACAAAACAAGTCGGTCGCCGCGATTTCACGGTTCGAGTCTCGATCGGTTTGCTCGTTGACCGCCCGGATCGATCCGGCGCGCCAGCTCCTTTTCCCGGTTGCCGTTGCCATTGCATTCCTCATTCCTCATACCTCCGACGACTATGTTTCTTCACGGAAGCGTATCTCGCGTTTGTTTCGCGAGAAGTCGCACAGCGCGATCGATCGAGTTGCGCTCGATCCATATCGCTTATATTATCTATACATAAATACAATTCCGAGTACGTAATAACGTTAACACCGTGAGTCATCGACGACGGTTCACGGGCGCATATGCGATCGCAATCGCGCGTTTGTTTCTAACCTAAACGACTTGTTCCGCTCGAGTTGGACGGTTGCCAAAATTATGTAACTCCGTGATAACGCGGTCACAAGTGCGCTGACTCTGAGGTAATTATTTAGAAAGTTTACTGCCATCTTGAATGTCGATCATTTTTTTAATATATGCGACGTGTAATTTAATATATTTAATATACGATTCCGAATGTCATTTTCCTCTACATATAACCGCCGCTCGGTTTAGTTTTCGAGACATTTGCAAAAAATTATCGATATTACTGCAGCGAAGTTCGCCTATGATAATTGTGCGTTCGTAGAGCGTATGCGCGTCTCGCGGCGACTGGATGAAGTAACACGCCTAAACCAAACCTAATTCTTATCTTTTGTTTATAATTTATATAGGCCCGGGTTAGGTGTCATTCTATCCGGTTGCCTCACGGTGACCGGCAAACCAATACTAATGCATACGCTGTCACGGATGCACAATTATCATAGGCGGACTTCACTGTAGTAATATCGACAATTTTTTGCGAATACCTCGAAAACGGACAAAATTCACTGGAATGGTACCGATAGATTTTTTCAAATATCCAAGAACTAAAAGAATCCAGTAGTAACACGCGAAGCAAAATGTTGTTCGGACTGTTGATTTCTACAACGTGTTAAAAAAATCATTGAAATCCAAGATGGCGACAGCTTTTTAAATCGTAATTACCGACCATGATCATCGACTGTTTAGTGAATTTCGTTGCGAAATCGGTCGATGCGACACAATGAGAAAAGTTTGTTTTGTTAGGAAAACGACTGAATTCGCGACTGGGGAAAAATATAAAGGGAAGAGAAAATGACAAACCTCGGTCAGTGTCAAGGACACGAGGTAAAGCTTGGTTCGGTCCCAGGCGGAAAATCGTCGAACGGCCGAGAGTTCTCACAACGGTACACAGCCATCGTTACGTAGTCACTCGATTTGGGATATTTCGCTGTATCGTAAATCAAGCTATAAAATAAAACGTTACGCGTAACTTTGTTCTCGAAGAAGGCGCGAACTTAAGAAGTCGCGTCGCTACTATTCGAATGTCCGAATTGGGATCAGGAGGAATACAACGCGAAACGATTCGACCGTCGATCGTTCGCTCGTGTATCTAATTCCGATTAACGTTGGTATCTCGATAAAATGAAAAGCTAATTTGTAGGTTCGTTTGGTTCATTGGAACAAAAGATAACGGGTATTCCCTTGCTAGAACACGATTTTCTCCCCGAAAGATTCTCGTGACAATGGCGTGAGGTGAAAATATGCGCGTTAGAAAAATATACGAAACGATTGGAACGATCGACGGTCGGTTGGCGATTCGCCAGTACGTAGATACTCGTCGTGCGTAGACGCCTGTATTCCAATACTTTTCGACCTTGCCCGGCTTCCTTCGAGAGCTTTGGTTCGGTTTATCGAAAGCCTAAAACGAGAAAACGATCCTCAATATACGTACCGAATACGTATGTAGAATGACTTTTCTTCAATCGACGAGCTCAAACACAAACGATCGAGAGTCGCAAGAGCAATTTATTTTAAGTTT